GGTCACATTAATGGTGCACAAAATTCTGACATGATTTACCTTTGTCTGATTTTTCTACTACACCATATACACTTTTATTACTATATAAAGAAAATAATAATAAAGTAATAAAGATTACTATAAAAAAAAAATCCCCCCCCACTGGTACGTCACACAGCTGCTCCGTCACAATGGTCACACAGGTTGAGGAGGTTCTATATTCTCAGAGCTGTTCTCGTGAGCCCATTACACGGTCTACTGTCACGCACCAACCGCCAAAACCAATTCCTTGTATGTTTGACATATTTTGGCAATAAATGTTTCATGATTCCTGATCCTGACACACACCAAACATCATCATCATCATCAAACAATAGTGCAACTCTTCAACTCTTCACTTTTAACACTCCTTCGTTCATTGTTCTCTCAAGAGTCTACAAATAAAATTGCCAAATTTGTCAGAAGGATTGCAAGCGGATATGAAAATAAAACGAGTGGAAGCAGCCATAATGAAAACGGCCTGCAGATAAATTCCAGCACAGTACGAAAATGTTTCCATAGGAAGCTGTGGAGCTTTGCATTTCAAGTATTTTTTTTAAAATTCTCATTCAGGATGCAAGGAAACCAGCTGGGGTAAAGTGTAAAACTGTTTTCTGTGATAAAGAAGAAGCGTCAACAGATTTCAGGTGATTTTCTGACTGAATATTCAGCAGACTGAGTCACTGACCTCGGCATATTCATTATTATCCGTCAGTTAATATTAGGACTTTTTTGTTTTCTAAAATAATTTATATATGGTACAGTAAAATGCCTTTCACAACACTAAAGCCCTAGATGAGAGCTTTAAATTGCAAACTTAGCATTTTCGCTTTGAAAAAGGGAAAAAAAACATTTGTGGATTCATTTTCTGTGTAGGGGTGGCACGGTGGCGTGGTGGTTAGCACTGTCGCCTCACAGCAAGAAGGTCCTGGGTTCGATTCCACCCAGTGGCCTTTCTGTGTGGAGTCTGCATGTTCTCCCCGTGTCTGCGTGGGTTCTCTCACCGGGTTCTCCGGCTTCCTCCCACAGTCCAAAGACATGCTCTGGGGATCAGGTTAATTGGTGACTCTAAATTGCCCGTAGATGTGTGAATGTGAGTGTGAATGGTTGTGTGTCTCTGTGTAGCCCTGCGATTGGCTGGCGACCAATCCAGGGTGTACCCTGTCTATCGCCCGAAGTTGGCTGGGATGGACTCCAGCCCCCCCGCGACCCTGTGTGCAGGATGAGCGGTTTGACAATGGATGGATGGATTTTCTGTGTATTGATAACTAACCTAAATGTTTTATGTGTCTAGGTAATATTCAGCAGACAGAAACGTGAAAATGAAAACGTGAACTTAACGTACAAATCCATCTCCACGCAGTACATCAGTGAAAGCTTGAATGAATGACCTTTCATTTGAACAAAAAAAAACAAACACTGCACACACATGGAAGCTACACAACGCGGCTCTGTCTCAACGCACGACGTGAACCCGTCGCAGTCAGCCTCATGCAAACAACTTCCTCAGGTATGCAATATCAAGTCAGACGTCTCTACTAATTCCAGGAAACTACAGAGTGCATTATAATTAACGTGACCTCAGGAGCGTAATTAATGGCTACGTCATCACAAAAGAATTAGGTCTATGGGCTGGGCCAATCAAAGGCGTAACAAAAAATAAAACCAAAATTAGATGAGTGGTCATTACAATTGTTTTCCACAAGAATGCGTTGCCTTTGAGTGCAGCCATGCACGGATCAGGTCATGACACATTTGACTCAATTATCATATGATAAGGGTGTGTGTTGTCCCAAATTAGAAAGAAAACTTGGCATTACTCAAGGTGACGCATTCTTCGTTGTGTGAGAACCAGTTGTTTGTGAGTCCCACTTAGTCAGGCCGTAAAACTGCGGGGCCAAAAATGAACTGCCTGGGCATGGGAGACGTTAACCCCGGCGACCTTGCGACGTGACGCATACCAAGATTACGAGCGGCTTGCTGGCGTGCCGTGGTGCAGAGCGGCGAGCCGCGGCAGGTCGGCTGCGTGGTGCCAGGATGGAGCATCGTTGTTGCGTGAGAAGCTCGGCGAGACGGCGACCCGATGCCAACTGGCCAACCACGCAGTGCCCGAAACAGCACGGCTGGTATCGAGCTACGAAATGTCACGCAGCCCGGGCCGACGGGGCGCAGCACAAAAACCAACTCACACGCTCTGGAGAGACGTGCACATGCTAAGCTCTCACACTGATAAGCCAATACACATCGGACACCCGCACACCTACACAAACACAATTATCAGGGCTCACACTTGAACGCACAAGCATAATACAAACATCTGTGCAGAACAGAAAGACTGGAAAATCAAAGCCATGTGCGAAAAAAAGACTGGGTGTATCTTTCGTGTCTCTCCCATCTGGTTATGGTCATAATTATCACAAATGAAAGGACCAACAAGCATATCTCGGACACGTTGAAGAAACGCCCTTCCGCGTGCCAATCTTTAAGCTGATCACTCCTCGTTAAACACGCTGAATCAGGAGGCGTGAATGTATGACAGACAAAAGATGAGCATGTAAAAAAACATGGCTGACACACCTCTGGGCGAAGAATTTCTATCCAGCCGCATTACGACTGGATCTCAAAAAAGGGCACATTCACAGACAAACACATCCAATACTACAGGGCAAGAAAGGAGGAACCGTACAGAAGACCCTTTGTTGGGTTGCGTGGAGACAAAGACATCTAAAACGAAAACGTACGGGAAGTAAATGAAGATCAAGCAAAATTCCATGAGTGAGTCAGCAGAACGGGGCGAGGTTTTTGGGTCGCCGTGGCGCAGGTTAGAGAAGGTGTGCTTGGAAGCACAAGGTTGGTGGTTCAATTCCAGGCTCCCCCATGTTCCATGTCGAAGTGTCCCTGAGCAAAACACCTAACCCCTAATTGCTCCCCGGGCAAAAATGTGAAAAGCCATGGGTTTAATAAAATAAAAGCGTCTGCTAAATGACATGTAATGTAATGTTTTTCTTTTCGCTCTGCTACAGAGCTTCCTTCTTCCTCTACGGTCCTGACGACTCTGTGACGGCCACAAGTCATTCGTCCCCCCCAGTCAAACTGTTAGCTACGTTTCTAGGGGACACACCTGCTCCAAGGGAAGACGGCGCACATCGTAGGTTTAATTTGGTCTTAATGCAACTGCAGGATGAAGAGATATGCCTGCAACATCCTCATTCCCCCCCCACCACTGAGAGGATGAATAGCTCTGCAAAAGGCCGAGCAAAGCCAACCAGCTGATCAAGCAAGAAACGTAACAGAAACGCTCGTTCAGTTAAGATTTGCCATAAACACAAATTGACGAAAGAAAAATATGACAGCGGCACATCGTTTTGGACTCTTGGTGCTTATTGCTGCAGGAGGCCGCCCTAGCATGATGAGTTGTTTGAATAAGTAACTTAAAAAGATGAACACAGGCATTGTTGTTTAAGAACAAACACTTGTTTTTGAAACAAGCTCCATGTGCTTGCTATGGCAACCAACACTGAAAACTAAACCTGTTAGATGCGTTTTTGGTTAAATCAAAATGTGAAAAATGTCCACCTCCTCATCAATCATCCGACGGGGAAAAATAAGAGTCTGGCAGTTTGTTTCACTGTGCCTATAAAACGGGATTTGGAAGGATGCTTCTACCAGCAACCAATTATCTTTGCGGTTATTGTTGCATATCAATTGTGTTGAAAAAAACCCTGTAAAATATGCTTTGCAACTCATGCGCACATGTGACACCTTGACGTAATCTTTCACTTAACTTTAAGGGAGATGACACCATCCAAGAAATATTTTCCAAAGTGCCCTCCACTGTGCACTAATCATCCTTTTAATTTGCTCAAATGTTGCACTAAAGTTAGGTAACACATAATGTAACACCCTTATTTTGTTTAAGCCTCTATATTTACTCGGCCTGTTGCAAAAGTCAATATATTGACTCATTGCACGGTATATGGAAATGAGTGCGGCCATTTTTGGTGCTAGATATATTATATTCATTTTACAGTGTCACAAACATTTTAGTCAATGGCACTGCATGTCGTCCGCTTTCTTTGTCGAAAGCGTGTCTTAAGCAGCGCGCGCACACACACACACGCAGATATGTCAACTTGGTTTAAAAACAGCGAGAGCGCCGCCCCAATAAAGTCTGGATTTTATTTATTACGCCGACATGCGAGCATAGAGACACGTGCCCGTGTCTGAATCCCACATTTTTCATTGGGAAATTAGATAGATAAAGTGAGCCTGCTCAAGTTACACCACAAGTAGAGCATGAAATCTGCACCGATTAATACCCAATTTAAATGTCAAAACTAATTATGACGCCAATAGTGGTAATAATTGAATAGGTGTGGTGGAGGTTTAGGGTGTATGATGTCTGTCTGATCCTATGTTTACTGGTTCAATTCATTCGTTTCATGCGTTCATTCATGCGTTTTCATTTAATCAATTTGAAACTATTTTCCAAACACACATTATGAAACATGTAAACCACAAAACAGCACGGATTAACAATAATTCGGCTGATGTCATCATTATAAGTCAGCGAGTACTTGACGGCGACATTTCTCGGGTGAAAAACGTGAGGAAAGTGGCTCAGAAACCGAATGTGAACCACCGCATTGTGTTCACGCTGAAAAGAAAAGAAAGGCAGTCCAAACGTGCTGGCAGTACAGGACAATGAAAGACACTCAACACAAGAGGACTCGATGCAAGACACAATAAGAAACCAGGACAGCTATGGTGCGAGTGCTGTGCAGCTGCATCTCATTTGGATTGTCTTTACTTAATCACATATGAGGAGAAGTAACCCAGCAACCATTTTGTCAGAAAATCCAGATTAACAATCTGTTGCCTCCATCTACATGAAAATAGAATAGTGATGCAGGGTGGGAAATAAATAAATTATAACTGTGGTGACCGATCAGAAACGGTCGGGTTGGACCTGCATTTCTTACCTAGCACAGCTGGTGGGATAAGACTGAGAGCATGAGAAAGCCTCATTGGCCCGGAGCATTGCCGAGTTGTTCCCGACGCCTTGGTTTCTGTTCCAGGCCCTGCCGATTGTAGTCACCGGGAGATACAGGCTGGACAGCGGCGTGTGTTCCGTCTGCTGCGGAGCTTCGCTGCTGATGCTGCCCGGGTTGAAGTGGTAGCTCTGTCCCCCGGAAGTGCTGACCCCACAGATGGAGATGGGGCTGGAGCCGGGCATGTCTGTAGCGGAGGTGCCGCTCAATTGACAATAACTCTGGCCTGCAGACGTCTTCTCCTGTTTGATCACGCCTTGGGTGCACAGCTGAACGAAGCAGACGTCTTTTTCTTTCTTCACCAGAGCAGACGGAGCAGTGGTTGTAGGGATCAGGGAGGCAGATGTGCATCGGCTAGCACCAGACTGTTCTGGACTCGACACACTGCTGCCGTTGAGAGACACGGCGCTGTTGATGCCCTCGACCACGACAGGCTTCGGGTCCCTCTCTGAGCCCACGTCTCCGAGCAGGGAATCATCTGCCAGAGTTGACAGGAAGGCATCATCCCCTACATAAAAGTCGGAGGGGGACCCAGTGAGCTCGAAGTCTTGGAGCAGTTCCAAAGTGTTGTCAGTGAAAAATTTCTGGCTCATGTCCACATCTTTCCCAATGTGACCAAAGGCATTGTCAAGGTCAATGGGGTCTTGCTCACCCAAATCCATGGAGAAATCCTCCGTTTTTGTGTGGAAGAAATTGGGATCAGATCCCCCAATAAGTGAATCCATGCAGGACTGTGAGATGTCTGCTACGCTCGCCTCCAACTGGGGGAAATTTTCCCTCAAAGTTTGGCGGCCGAAGGAGGTGGAGGTTTGCGTCTGGAGTAACTGCTGCTGCTGATGAAGCTTCTGGTCCCTGCTCAGACACCTCGACTCTTGGTCTTCCAACAAGGGGCCTACGGTGGCAGTGGCGGAGGTGAGCTCCTCTGGGAGGGGGCTGTTGCTGAGGCCGTAAGGCACCTGTCCCGGCTGCATCAAAGGGCTGGATGGAAGGAGGAGAGACGTGGCGGAAGAGATGGACATGGCACTGTGAGGAGCCACTTTCAACAGACCTCCATTCTCAGGGCTTTCAGTATAGACCAATTTGCTCAGATGATCATCTCGTCTATATGTTATCTTCTTCACTCCACCATTGTCCATCTTGTTGTTGTTGTTTTGTTAGGAGGGGGGAGGGGCACAACAGACAGAGCGTTAAAAAGACAGGACCAAGTACAGCGCATAGCAACTTACGTTAAAATGTTAATAGCAAACGCGCACTATGCCACTAAACGGTGATGTCATTTAAAATGGTAGCTCGTCAAGAACATGCAGAGAAAGCAACAAACGTTGGGTCCGAGTAAGACTGGAGAAAGTTGTCAGCATGCCCCCCTCCCCTTCCCCCGCGCGCCCTTGATAGCGCTCTTTAGCTTTGTTATAAGCTAACTGTATTAGCAAAATGTCAACATGAGCGCAGAGACAGCATTGTCCCGTCTTATATCCACCATAATGTTGCTTACGGTTAACACACACAAACACGCGTTCGACCGCACAGCACACGCAGGAAGCTGTGGAGTTGACAAAAGTCAAGTCAAAAACCCGCCAGCGTTCGCTGACAGGCTAACTGCTGGAATGCTAGGTAGCAACGCGGCTAACGGCGAAAAGGGGCTGCGAGGAGTCGTTTTTGCACGAGCGCCGTTGACAGCGACGTTAGCCCGACGTCCAACGCAGCCCTGATAACGGCACGTTCCGCGATAACGTTCAACGTTTCCGCATTCGTCTTAATGCAACACACGACAACTCAAAGGGGAATTAAAAAAAAAAATAAAAGAAACTCGTATTTACCGTTCAAATGACCGATTGCTGGTACGTGTCCACAGGTCGTCTGTCAACATTGTTTTGGTCGAAAGCGGCAGTCCTAAAGACGCAGCACCGACTCGAGGTTTCGTGGCGTTAGGCACTTCCTGCCGCTGCGTGACCTGGTGAAACGAGTCGACGGGTCACGCCGGCTGTGTTTTCTTACGCGAGCTTTCGATCCTCCAGTTCGATCTCGCCGTTAACTGTCACGCGAACTGCGTTGCACTGAGTGAGCCGCGGAGAGTCGCAGCTAGCCATTAAAAAGTGGGCGCTGACCTCCCAAGAAAAACAGACAAAATGGAGATCTGAGCGACTCAACCCGACGACCTGTTCGCGCGACGCGCAGCGCCACCTGCGGCTCGCGCGGGGTGACTGCAGCTTGTTGTTTGCGGAACCTCGACCTCAACTTCCTCAAACGGTTTGAGATACGAATGATGATACACACGTGGGCGCCAGCACCCGAGCAGCAAAGTAATCTGCGCAACAGGTGCACAGGCAACCTAGACACCTCATCTCTGTGAAACTATTAGAAGTTCGGTTCCGGTTGTTCACATATGTGCATGGAAAACCAATTTAGCATGTGCTTGTATCTAGTGTTTATTTGTATATTAGTTATTTCACCCGAGAGTAAACTACAGCATCTCGTGCAACTGGCCCCTAGACGTCCGTAACGGTCAGGTTCCACAATGGCGGTTAGTGTACTAATGTGAATAATATGATATTTGCATTGTCATTTTGACTGCAGTGTATATGACATAAACAGATTGTATTATGGGATAATAGTCTGCCTGTTGGTCTTCATATTGTACTGTCTCCAGAGGCTCACGACATGTCACTGAAGTTGCTGCATCAGTAAACAATAAACCCCTAATGGATAATTAACAAAAAAAAAAAAAATGCAGTACGTGTGTTACCTCAAGACAGCCAGTTTACACGTACACCTCTTTTATCATTGTCACAGCAGCCAGTGTGGCGCGGCAGGAAGTAGGGCTCAAACTCAGACTTGTGAAAAAAAAACGATACTTTTAATAAATCCAAAATTCTAAAGTCAAAAGGCCAAGGGGAAAACCAAGGACACAAAAAGGCAGACATGGACCAGGACTCACAGGCAATTCAGGGAACAACATTCAAGGCTCACATTCAATGACATGACAAGAGACACACATGGCTTAAATACACTGGGAAGGTGCAGGTGATTGGACACAGGTGGAAACACAGGTGGAAACAATCATGGACCCGGCAGACAATCACAGAGGATGACAGGACAAGGCAGTACGTGAAGTTAACCCAGGGAGACCAGAGGCATGAAACTACAAAATAAAATGAGACGTGAACCCAAACCGTAACAATCTGAGGTTGAAAAGTGCCCGCGAGGACAGGAAGTAGGGTAAGGCAGGCTATTACCGTGTGCAAAGGGACAATAACTCTGCAGAGTGCTTCGGGTCTAGTTGTTGCTTTTAAGGCAACCCAACAATTCATTGAATGTATTCTGAGACAGCAAATTCTCTGGCTTGTTTGCAAAATGACACATCCCAGGAACCATATCTGGATACTAGATGGTACCAATAAACATTTCCCCATAAATCATGTCATTTCTCAAGAGAAGAGAAATGACTAAAAACCTTCTGAAAATGTTTCCATTTCCCAGACCAATTTGTAGATGCAAGAGCTTGCAAAATCCAGAATTTATCAATCTAATGTTACCCTCAGCTAGGACCCATATAGTCTTATTGTTTATGCAACTTTTGCATGAAATGTCACCCTTTAGAATCTAACAAGGAAGTAGTGCACGGACCGGAAATAAAGTGAGGACAAGAGGCTTTCAAATGGGCTATAATGGGAAGATGAGTGAGATGAATAGGTAACAGGGTTTAAAGCACATCCCCAAGCAAAGACCAGGGAATCACTTAAATATATTTTAATGTATATTTAATATAGCAGATGCATCCTCATAAAATTAGCCAAATTGACCAAATTGCCATCTAACAGTATCAAATATCTACCCACACTCCCATGATAAGTACACAATATCCACACAACTTTACTTTTTCATGCATAATATCAGTATGAAAACATATCATATTACAGAAACAGAAGACGAGTGCTTTAGCTCCCAAATCCCCACTGTTTGAATTCCACTCAGTCCCCTGTGACTGCTTAGCAACCCCTCTCCAGCACAATATACTTTAATTTAAAAGGGTAAAGCGTGACCACTGCCTCCTCAGAACCACGAGTCAAGGGTGCGCTCCCATCATTCTCTCAGCACTGCAGCATAGATGTGTTACAGCATGGCTTCAAAAAATACAACGTACAATCCGAAGAGCAAACATGAGTTGCTGATCAGTGTGAATGCTGCTATGTAGCTGCTCGACACGAGGGCCCCTTTACTCCATAAATAAAACAAACAGGACCATAAGTTGCCCACATTCAGCTCCTGAAATGCTTTTGAATGCATGTTTTGAGCTGGACATCCACACATATCCTTATTTAAATACCTTATATGCAACACTTGTTGTACATGTCATGTCATGTCATATGATGACATGCTTCGTCAACCCTTCAGTTATTTCTCATCAACTCTCTGCCTAATGGCTTCAGTAAACTGATGGCTCTAGGACAAGTTCACCCTGAACCTCAACAAGAACACATATCACAATCCCCATGTCCTCCTTCTATAATGAAGAAACAATGACTCAGTAATGAGGGTTCATATTTCTGAGTTTCTTTACACTGAGAAAACCGCGAGGAACGTGCACTTTATGGTCGGAAACCGACCTCACATTGATGCGAAACGATCACTTTCAAAACCTATACTTCAATGTATTGACGTGTACTCTTGAATCACTATTTGGGGAGTATTTTAAAGCCCGAGAGCGGGCTGAGATCTGTCCGTGGTCCTGAAATAGGAAGGGATCCGTTTTCGTATTCAGCCACATTGTTCTGGCTGTTGGAAGTGATACTGCTTGAATGGTTCTGATGCAGAAGAGTGCCACGACTATTGAGATCATTTTAATATTTGAACCGTTGTCTGCGATTAAGGAGTAAATGAGTATCCTGCTGTTCACCAGCTGACTATAGCTGTCACTGCCGAATCTCTGAGCAAGATGGGACCTAACCCATCACCCATCTCTGTGGATAACGCGTCAGCTAAAAGCATTAAATGTAAATGCGAAAGCCTCTTTGAAGACTCAGAAGAAGGGATTAAATCCGCAAAATCTGCATTAGACCCGAATCCGCTCCGCCAGCTGCACGCCGCCCGCAGCTCGACCACAATTTCACGAATTGGTCCGTTTTATGCCGATCCTCAGTAAATGTCATTTTCCTTTAAGATGATGTAAGACATTACTTCATGGGACGATTTACACCACTCTCTCTCTCTCTCTCTCTCTCTCTCTCTCTCTCTCTCTCTCTCTCTCTCTCTCTCTCTCTCTCTCTCTCTCTCTTGTTTTTGCTTTTTCTCTGTCGCGCACAGCTTGGAGCAACATCAGGTTTTCTTTACGCCTCTACGCGGAACAAACGTTTCCGCACTCAGCAGTTCGGAGAGATGGCAGGTGTGCACAGGAGTCGCACCTTCACCCTCCTCTCTTTAAGCAACCCACGAGCACGCTTCAGCATCCAGGAGCGACGCTTAGTAGCAGAATGACGGGATGCACGCAACCTCTTCAAATGCCTTTGGACTGATTAAAGCAGACGCCAGACGCAAGACGGTCAACCTTTCGGCAGAACACTTTAGATAAAAGAAGAAGAAAAATGTTTCTTTTTTTTTTAACTTTTGGGTAATTTCAGAGAGTGAATTCCATCGCTTTAAAATCCCAGTAATGACCCAACGCAGTGGATGCGTGTAACATGATGCGCTCGCTGCTTACATTCTGTTCAAAAAGGCTACACCGTGTGCAGGCACACTTACGCATAAAGGATATGCTGTGAGCACACCTTGTGATTCTTTGTAATGGGACACTGGATACAAGGACTGCAGCTTGATTCAAGAGCTTTGGGTCTGAGGGCGTCAACACCATGCAGATAGACCCCACACTCTGAACTTCTGGGACGTTTGCGCCTCCTTGAGCCTCGGATTTCGTACAATATCTGGGAAAATGGCACTGAGCGAAAACTGCAAAACGCAACCTCCAAAAGAGCAGGTGTCCGTGCAAAATACTCCATCGGATGTCATTGAGTTAAACGTGGGCGGGCAGGTATATTACACTCGCCATGCCACGTTGTCAAGCTTTCCAAATTCGTTACTTGGCAAGCTGTTCTCTAACAGGAAGGGGTCTTCAAATGACCTGTCCCGGGATTTTAGAGGACGTTATTTCATCGACCGAGACGGCTTTCTGTTTCGCTATGTATTAGATTATCTTAGAGATAAGCAAGTTGTCCTCCCAGACCACTTCCCCGAGAGAGGAAGATTGAAAAGAGAGGCGGAATACTTTCAGCTGCCAGATTTGACCAAACTTTTGTCGTCCGAGGATTCCAAACTATTACCAGACGACTTGTACAACAGCGATTTGGATGATGCGTCGCAGGGAAGCGACCAGAGATTTTACCCCTCTTACTCCTCGGACCGCAGGTACGGCTACATCACGGTCGCGTTCAAAGGTGCGTGCGCTGGTGGAGACAGAGAAAGTCAAATTGATGTCAAGGCGAAAAAGTTGTCGAGGATTTTCATCAGCAGTAGGATTGGATTGGCAAAAGAGGTATTTGGAGACGCCCTGAATGAGAACAGGGACTTGGACAGACCACCGGACCGTTACACCTGCAGGTTTTACCTCAAGTTCAGGCACCTGGAGAGAGCTTTTGACATGCTGTCAGAGAGCGGCTTTCACATTGCGGCCTGCAATTCGTCCCTGACTGCGTCCTCCATCGGTCATTACGCAGATGACAGGGTCTGGTCCAATTACGCACAGTACATCTTCTACCGTGAGTGGAGATTTATTCATTCTTCTTGCTTTCAGGGGTGATGGGAGATAAGCTGGCGTCTTTGACCTCCAGAAATAATTAACATGCAAACAACCAAGTTAAACACACACAAAAAATCCCAAGTGACCCTTTCTCACATAAGCGCAGGCCGTAATAATGGTGTTTCATGCTGACCGGAAAGGTCTCCTAATTCCTATAAATAACCACACATATTTTCACATGCGAGAAAAACACAATTTCTAATGGTTTGGAATTTTAAATGATTTGCAGGTGTTAGCTCACACCAGGTGGTCCGGTTCCAGCACATCCTTCTAAAAATTCTTGCATTCTGTTATGGGGCCTGGGATAAGAGGCTAACTTGCCTCGGCCCTCAGGGGTTTTGAGTCACATTGCTGCTAGATTAAGAAATACACATGCGTCATGCTTAAACATTATAACTGCTGATGGGTTATGAATAATATAGCACCGGTGGGCTGCAAACAATTCACATGAATGCTGCTCCATTCTCTTGAATCGGCATGGCTTTTCACTTGAAGAAAACTGTTTATTGGTGAATGCCCTAATTAGCTGCAAAAATGGTTCATTCCACTCTCTGTAGAGAAAGGAGTTGGACCATATGGCTAAAAAGCACTTTGTTCATTATCCTGAAATGCTCCCTATGGAAGATCCCCGTTGGTGGGTCAAGGTTGGAGGCACAGGAGGGTTGGGCTGTTGAAGACGTGACATATGGTTTGCTAATGGTTTACCAATAGTGTTGTTAATACGGGCTAATTATGAAAGAGGGGGCTGCCTGGACTTGCACATCCAGCCAGGTTGGATTTTCATTGCACTTTCTGGAGCACGGCATATGGTGTGTTCATCCCTATCCCCGAAGAGACACTGCCCTAGGACAAAGACAGTGGAAGGAGGATAGGAAGAAAGCGTTGGGACGGGGGAGAAGCAGCAAGGAAGGACAGAATATTTAAGAAAAAGCACAAAAAACACAAGTTTAAATTTAAGGAAGCAAGCTGAAGGAGAATGAAGAAGGGAGAGCCAGGCAGGAAAGAGCGGCGTAGAGACGAGGGAGTAAAAGTTGCATGAGACCAGGCCATGGGAAGAAAGAACTGAGGCTGAAAGAAGAGAGAGGGAGCAGGCGCAAAAATAGATTAAAGTAAGTATCAGACAAAAAAGTTCATCTGGTCTGAGGGGGCGGAGAGGGAAGAAAACGGTTTGGTGGTGAGACACGGAAAACAAGGAAGAGATAGGGGGCTTCCATGAAAAGACAAGGTGAGGGTGAGAGGAAACACACATATAGATAGCGGGCGTTGGGAGACAAAGGCGCAGTCGGGATCATGGATAGACACATCGGGAGCAGACATGCGTGAGAGCCCTGCCTTCACAGCAGCACAGCGGCTCGCATCCACTTTCAAGACAAATACTGTAACCTGATTCTGAATGTGGGACACTGGCTGGCCTAGGGCAGGTAGTCCAAATGCATGTACAAATGCACCTGTGAGGTTGGCACTAAACAGATGTGCTTCATTGTGGTTTTCAGCAGAAGATTTCACTACTGATTGGTGGCAATCTCCACCAATCTAATCCCGGAGTAAAAAAGAGAAGTTTGGAGCAGTAAATAAATTGATAGACTTTCTTCCAGCCCGTCAGTTCCTTGGGGTCACCAATGTTGCTCTTTTTGTCAAACGCGTCAGTTGTTTTCAGGCTCCACTTCAATATTATGGACTCCAGTCAAAGTGCCACAGTAGATATTCCTTACTGTGTGATCGGTTGGATTCATCCCATTAAGTTTCTTCTCAGGCTAAAACAAATGGTTCTTACAGGAAAAGGGCACTCTCTGCACGGAAGAGGTGTCGAAGCAGGATTTTCAGTTTTAGCAAACTAAAGTCAACATAAAAAGTAATGATCAATTGTGACGTTATTGAAGTTAGTTATAAAGATGAAAAGGTATCAGAGTCACAATTGTGACGTAGCAAGTTAAATTTGATTAGATGATGCCATGATGATCTTTTTTGGGGTTATTTGTCGAGCAGCCACGCAGTTTGATTTAGTTGTTTTCTTATGCAGTGACAAGAAGATTTCTGTAATGATTTACAACTCTAACCACTGAGTTGGCGTTTAGGACTAGTTTTCTTATTGCTTATCCTCTCTGGGGGAAAGAGGAGCTTGTTGGCCAATTATAAAGCAATCTGTGATACCAAAATATGTACAATGTCATGTGGGATAGAGATGCAATTAGGAAGATAAATGCTTACCTACTTTCAAGGCAAACATATGTCCTATTTCAACCTATAGATGGAAATTGTTCGTCGTCAGGGACAAATCACCAGTGAACACTGGTACCATCGACGGCTTCCATCTTTCCACGTCTGTGGAGGTTTAATCTGAGACACGTACGTTAACGATGGAGAAGGCCAGGTTTGCTTTGTTAATATAAATATGCAGTCTTCATTTGGGCTGTGGACGAGACGATGTGCGGCCATAATTGCTCCTGAACAATGGCCACAAGGCGGCCGGGACGAAGTAGGAGGGAAAGTAATCAATTGTTCGGATGTAATGGAGGGAAAGATTGGGCCGTCCCCGAGCTCCCGGAGAGCCTGTTGGAGTGTGGATAGATTGCCAGTGCCTACAAAAAATGGCTGGTACATCTTATACATACATCTTAAAGAGGAGAAGGGGCAGGAGGATGGTCAGAAGAAAGAAATGCTTGTACCATTATTTCTCACAATGTTTGCAGCACCTTGTGCACTTCATCGGTTCACGTAGACAAACTGGATCACATTGGTAGCACATTTGAGCTTGAACTGCAGATGCAAAGGAAAAAACATCTTTTACAAATGTCCTGAATTTTAAGATGTCATGGTAATTTTCCAAATAGTCCCTAGCAACTTCATTATTAAGTGATGATAATGCAATTTTGACAAACAAAAATATGAAACAAGAATGGATGGATTACCCACATTAAGCAAATTGCAGTTCCAATATTGAAAAGCAAAGTTAAGCCATCAATCCCGACATAAAATTCACACAGCCTCCAGTGTGTCCCTTTAAAATAACAAATACAGTTAGAGCAGAGTTCATTTTCATTTTTCTAACAGAATTTCAATATTGTCTTCTCCTTTCGCCGGCTCTGCCACTTCTGTGCGCTATAGCTGTAGAGAGCGGGTATAACGGCTCTTACCATTTGATATCCAACACCTTAATGATCTCCCCTCCAGAGACCGTTAATGGCTACTTAGATGGTGCAGCTCACATTGTGGGTATAGGGCCGAGTGTTTCCCGAAGAGTTCCTGTGTGTTGGCATGCGGGAGATCATGAGGTAGTGATGGTGATGGTGCAGGGCTGTACATTATGATAGTAAGTATGTCCCAAGGAATTTGATATATTTTGAGTCAATGATGCAGAAATAAAACAGGGATCAGATGCTTAAACATGGAGTTCTCTTTCCTCAGACGTTGCTCTTGAATATCATCTTGACAGGGTGAGGGTCAGGTACGGCCCCTCGTCTTTCCTGCAGCCTCTTGAGACTGCATTTAGGGGATGCCAAGAGCTCGGCGTATACTCAGGACACCTCCTTCGCTTTTCCCTTGTCTTGCTTCATCAGTGATTTGGCCTTGAAGGGGTGTGACTCTGGGCCAAGGAAAAAGGCCCGTAGGCAGAGGCTGTTATAGACATTTCAATCCGTCTAAGTTGCTTGTTCATCCCCCTGAGGGGGACCTGCTCTGCGGGGCAGCCGCCCTGTGACTCTGCGAGGGGACAGCACCCTCTTGTCATTAACAATTAGCCACTAAAGCTTTCACTCTCGTCACAGAGAGCAGGTCACTCTTTGTGGGAGTGAGAGTGTCCTTGAATTATCATGTAAAACTTGTTGGGTCACGCAGTCTATTTCTCGCCAGCTCTCTCTCATCACTGCCGGAAGAGGTAATTAATATTGACAAATCCAATTGTATGCAAATATTACAGATATTATTATGCCATACAAGAGGATGGCTGTAGCCAAACTGCTGAAGTGATACTTTTGTAGCAAATAGGACTTGGTGAAATGGATTTCCATCACCCTGTGAGGACTGTCACTGCTTTTTCAAGTCTTTCTCACTGCTGTAAGGACACGCTGCCCTAATTTGTGAGCTAACAAGCATGTAAACTACACTCCTCCTGAGGCGGATGCAAAATAAAAAATGTTTGTGGGAGCTGGAGAATACAACAGTGTGTCTGAGATCAGAGCTTCTCCTTCTCCTGCTGCTTTTACTCCATGATTTAAACTGCCAGAGAATGCTAACCCCCAATTCCATCAGAATCTAGGCCAGAAAACATTACAGCGGACCGCTGTGCAAGCTGGACGAATTGGTCTTATTGTGCAGACAAAGTAAGTCTCCTTATTGGTAAAATGATGGTAAATTAGGGTTGTAGCTGGTTGTCGACATCACTATGGTTACAGAGAGGTGGTTCATGTGTTTTAACGTTTTATCTCATAATTTCTTCTTTCTGTCCCTTCATTTATTTATAGTGTGGAAATAGGCTTCCATAGTTCTGTGCATGTGTAACCAAAGGGTGGATCCTCAGTGAGGTGGTGTGTATGCGCCACAGTAGTTGACAACTGAAATTAATTTAAAATACAATTTATTCCACTCTGAATCGCAAACTATGTTTAAAAACAGAGTGGCGCACCTGCCGTCAATTCCAGGATGCACCCGTTCACCCTAATGAGATGCACCATTAGACACTCATAAATAAAACCACATCTGCAATACTACATTAACCACCACTACACAAATAATCAAAACATGCAAACAATAAAAAGGAATAATAAAAATGGAAGTAAAAGCATGCAGATGCAAAAATCAAAAAATGACTGTATAATTAAAACAAAGTGGTGTCTAACGGTTACACGTGCACCACTATCAAAAGCAGCAGCTACCATGGTGACTGGCCCGGCCTGCTTATTGTCAAAAAGAAAAACTGCGAGCGAGCGAGCAATCAACAGACTCGCAAGCAAGCAGGTTCAAGTTTCAACTTTTGCCGGCGACTGTTTGATTTGCATGCACGCAAGGATCTCATCACGCTCTCGGATTTTGACACTGATTTGCCTTCATAAGTTTTGTGTTGAAGTTATTTTCTTTGATTTAGATTGAGGCCACAGTTCACATCAAAAGCAAACAGCTTTGGGTCACTCAAGTGCAAATCTGAAATAAATCGCGTTATGGCTCCTGGGTATGTGCAACAACAAAATTAAATTTCTGAGTGATGAGCGTTTCTCCTCCCTATATTTCTTTTTTGCCTCTCTGGAATACATGACTGAAGCACAGAGCTGCTCAACCGTGAGAAAAATAATTCTCACACATCCTTAATCAGAGATGGACAAAAATACATAAAAATGTATTGTGATACAAAATACCCCTCAAAAATCAAATACAAAATACTGGTGCCAGAACATGTAACAAAATACAAAAATGTATTTTAAATTTATTTAGCTTTTCTGTTTTCTCACAATTTGGTATAGCAGAGCATTCCGGTTTTCTTCACTGACAGGAGGACTCAAAGGATTAAAATACAGGTTGCAGTTAAACAAAATAAGCTTTATTTTAACGAAAATTAACGAAAGTTAACTCGTTACTGTGGGGCGACTGTGGCGCGTGGAGTAGCTGACAGCAGCAGGGTCAGTGGTTCAAACCTCAGTAGCTGCGTGCCTCATGTCAAAGTCACCTAACCCCTAACTGCTGGCCTCCTGTACGGCAGCACACTGCTCCCACGGGGTGGGATTGGTTAAATGCAGAGAAAATTAATCATAATCAAGGATACTTTCTTCTTCTTCTAAACACAGGCCTAGCCTAGACAGCGTGCTAGCGCCATTAGCATGTTAGCGCTGATCGCTAGCTTGATACTCTAACCATCACCATGTATATAGATTAGGATATGTAGTCAGACCCAGACATAAGTTGTACATCAATTAGTTGACATCTTGATAGACAATCTGTTGAACTTGAATATCTGAATACTGAACTTGTGAACTGTTTCTTAATTTGTGGAGAAAGTATTTTGAGTATTTTAAATAAAAGATTACTCCACTCCAAAGTATTTTGTTAAAAATGACATTGACATATTTTTTATTGGCTCTATTAAATACAAATGACTAAATACTTTGAAATCTATATTTCAAATACAAGTAATAGAAATACTGTCCATCCCTGCCCTTGATGAATCTGTTTAGAGGCACAGAAATAAAACCTCACTAATGTCTAGCAGGAAAGCCACTGACATTTGAATCTGTTTGTTAGAGCCCTGTGCCTTCAACCCCTATCATGTCCTACTTTCTGCCATTTAAAACCTCTCAGCACATAACAATGTAATAATTTTAATCCAATATCCGATCTGACCTCTCACAGGCACGAAACAAACATCATTAGAGATGGAGAGGGGTTTGAGGATACCCCTCGTAACATGCCTGCATACCTCTGTACTGAACTCCACTCCCTCTCTCTGGGTTATTTATGAGAAGTGCAGTCTGGTCTAAGGACCAGCTCCAGTCTTTTAATGTAGTTGGAATATGATCCACGAGACAGGCTGTAGATACCTGAAAAAAACACAATGCAATCAATGGCTTCCCTGAAAAGATACCAAAGGGTATTGCACACACCCACTTGTTTAAACGTGCCAGAGAAGGACTGCATTTCCTGACAAGGCTCTTAGTTGTTTCCTGTCTTGGCTCGGAAGGGGACATCAAAGCCTGACACCAAACCACTTTTGTCCAAAACACAGTTTGCGGTCTTGTTCCGACACACAGAGATTTCTTTTACACGCTATATACCGGTCTGTGCACGTTTTACAAATTATTACATAAAACAGAATACAAGCCCGGGTCCTTCTCAGCCTCATCAGAGGCTTTAATGCAGAGGCCCTGCATTGCCTAAACATTTGATGACGCAATTATTGGGTGTTGGCTAGTTTCCTAAACGGGATGCCCCTCTGGTCTACAGCAACCATCCATTTAGAAACAATGCTCTGCCTGATCTTCCGCACTAAAGCGCCTGCATCCATTTGCCTGGTGCTTGTCGTCGCCTGGATTCAGCTTGATTCCTTTTCTGAGGGAGGAAACTGGTGCACTGATTGGCCCCTTTACTCATGGATTAGCCATTAAAAAGCTGTTAGTGACTCTCTTACTATCAGCTCAACACAATCATCGCGTTAGAGATAAGGTCATTATTAAAGTGGGTGCAGAGAGGTTAAAAACCCCCTTCAACTCTGTTTAGCCTAAATTGATGCAAGCACTGGGAGGAGGTAATGGACAAATGTATTATTCGCTTTGAGATATGATTGCCTTTGAGTCTCTATCGTCACATTGAGGGATTAAGATGTATTAGCGGCCTGTCTGCAACAGTATATTTATCATATTCTGTTGTTTGTATTACAGTGAGGACAGCAGATTTTCAATGCCGGCCGGCATCATAGCTCAGTATTTTTGGTTCAAAATAAGCAATGTGGTAGAATGTGAGACAATCCAAGAATTAGGTTGGAGAGGCAGAATGTAGGCTACTGAAAATCTTCTTTTACTTGGTTGAGTGACTGTATAAACTTCACGACGGTAGGTCAGGACACCAGCGGGTACATCTGTTTAACTGACCCAGTTCTGTTACCAAACCGGGATGAATTATACTTTGTCAACTCGCCTTTTCTACTTTGGTGCCTCACTAAAGATACAACAGTTATAATGAGAAACTGCGACGGCTAAGCAAATAGTTTTGGCTCTGAGGCAAGCTTTGCTTGGGGAAATGAGAAAGGGAGTCGTACTGAACCGCACTGAGCTCTGGCCTCTCGTTATCTGAAAAAGCAATATGCACAGCCCACAAGCCTCCTTGAAATTTAGCAATTAAACGTCAAAGCCAATAACATTCATATTGTTACGTTTGTACTCCCCTAAATAACTCCACCACACACATTGGTTTGATGATTGTTTAGATATATTTGTATGGAACTGCCGTGTGGGCATTTGTCAGCATTTCCTTGATCAGTGCAACTATTTCTTTTGATCACAGCTTGAACCTGTCACCATACAGACAGCTGGGACATTAGTTTACAGTGCATTACTCCATAACAGAGCGTCTTACTGTAAAGGAATATGTACTGCGTGTGTTCAAAACAAGGGACAAATGTGTCTCTGTCTTCTGTTTCCTAGGTGGGCCCTCAAGGTGGTCGTCCTCCCACTGTGAATGCTGCTGCAAGAGCCACAAAAGCGAGCGTGAAGGAGAGAGCGGCACTTCCTTCAACGAGCTCTCCACTTCCTGTTCTGAGACCCAGTCGGAGGCCAGTTCCCCGCAAGGGACCGTAATCTGTGGCCCCGTCAGCCGGCGCTCCAATATCCAGACGCTGGACCGCCCCATGCCCAAAGGATCAGCTCACATGCTGCGTCAGGCGGAGATGCGCCGCAAGACTGACATGCTCCGAGTCAGAACCTTCGGGGTCCGAGATCGAGAGGCAGCGAAGAGGAAAGCTCACAAGCAGAAGATGACTCCAGCGCAGGAGCTGGAGAAATGCATCCAGGACTTCCGGCGCATCAGGATTCCTGATCGCTTTCCGGAGAGGAAGTACATGTGGCAATCCGAGCTCCTGAGAAAGTACCGTCTCTGAATGGGTGTTAAAAAGAAGGTGATAGTTGTCATCGTGTCACCATCGATGGAGTGCATAGGCAATAGACTGCACCTTCTAATGCACATACTGTATTTGAAAAAAAAGAAAAGGACCCTTTCCCGCCAGCATGATTAGCCGAGCACACACAGCACAGAGCCGTGGGACACATTGATTTTCTAAATAGGCACATTGTTGTGTGTAATAAGCACATGTGTAAATCAGGTGACTCCTGTTGGGGATTACATCACTAACCCTGTTCTCTCTTCAGAGAATACACAACTATATCACTATTCAAGCGACAAAGCAACCTCAGGGGCAACATTGTTTCAATTCATCAACCTGTCTCACACTCTATGTACAAATGTCCACACTAGCTGGTTTTCAAAAATGGATGTACCAAAATGGTGCTGTGAGTTGGCGAATATGGAATATCACTGTAGTCCACCGATAACACACACTGCATACTCATAGTAGGCTTTGATATTTGATATTGGCACTGCATGTCATCTCACCCTTAGCATAATTATGCACTATGAAACAAACCTAAAATTCACTGTTTTGTGTGATGAGTAAAAATATTCCAACTGGGGCTAATTTAAAGGAAAGCAATGCCTAGATCTTCTTGCCATTGTAAAATTGTGTCCATTGTTGTCATTGTGTGTTGAATAGATGATGTTCTGTAGGTAGAGTGTATGCTTATGGCTATTTGACGTGATTGTACGTGTGCAAAAAAAGCTAATAAATGGGTTCAAATTGTATTTATTCTTAGTAGGTCTGCAGCCGTGGTCAACCTTGTAATCGTCAGTAGGCTACAATTAGAATGAACATGGGAATTACAGTTTCTTTTCAATCTTATTCTTATAATTGGGCTGTCAACCAACCTCACCCAGCAATAGTCCAATGACAGACGTATCTGCTATATCAAAAAGGCCTGACAAGCTTTAACCATGGCTTTCTTGAACCTACATTTACAAGTGATCTTCATAGAGCTATAATTAGAGCAATACTCCAAAGAGAGAAGAAAAGATGAAGACAGCAAGGAATGGATTATATTGTGTATGTGTGTTCACTATATTCATCTGCTCAAGCTGTCCGAGGTAACACAGTGTTAGGCACCATATTTTTACATGTTACAGAAAGAAAAAAGCAGGCATAAATAATAAAATCAATATTTCTCTGGTCTGAGGGGACAAGGGTCGTCATGTTAGCACAATCATTTGGATTAATACCATTCATACTTTCCACACTGTGCTGAAAAGAAAAGTGTCTTGCTTTGTAGTGGACCCACCATCAGCATCATCAGCCTGCCAACCCCACACAAAACTGGCCTCATTGAAGAAGTGAAATAGATCCCTCCTTGTTGACATTTCAATGTGTGTCTCATCCTCTTGGAAATATTTCAAAGAAACAGGAAGAGAACCATAACTGTGCATCACAAGCCCCATTTTTGGAGAGCACTATTTTTAGCCAACGGATTTCTGCAGTGTGGTCACGTCGCTTCCATAAGGAGCGAGAGCTTGGGGACCATTTTCCTGCAACGCACCAAAACAGCTCTGTGATGGTAGATAAAGAGCTGCTTCTCGCTTGAGACAGAAACAAGTCATCGCCACGAGTTCAAAGGAAACAGCTTTGATATGGATTTGTGATACATTTTGCTCCATGTGCAGAAATGCATATGACAGTAAAAAGATTGTGGGGAAATATAAACCCTTCTACTTTTGCCACTGACGGCATGAATGGAAACTGAAACCTATAAGCCTGGTAAGAAATTTCAGCAACCTATATGTTACAAAAAAAAAGCCACAAACAAAACTCTTGGGGCGTTTATTTGTCTTTATTTAGCTGTTATTGACAAAGAAGAAATATGGGTTAGGATGTGAATGGTCTTCAATATAGTCTATAGTTTCTTAGTACAGCAGCAGAGAAAAGGCAAAATCTGGAAGAGGAAGGTGACATAATGAATTAGTCAAGAATATAGTCGCCTTTCCTTCACTCTGCACCCAAAACCCATATCTCTTTCTCTCAGCCTCCATCGAATAGGAACACAGCATGAAATCTCTCAGTTGGAAATCCAATGTCCCTTTCTCGTCTTTGAAAACAGATCCGCTTCGAGTACGGTTTCGCCTCGCACTCGGCACGTTGTGATTCTATACCAGATGAGAAATCAATGAACCGGTTTTTGCACATCAAATATACGCCAACGTCAAGGCGTGGCCTGACCTGGCCGCGCCCAGGTGACCTTGCTGGCCTATCCCACAGAATCACCTGAAAGCAGCCGTCGCCACTCTGCTTTTCTTACAGATCGATAGCCTCTGATCTTGCCCTGGCCTTACAGTCTTTACCGACGGTCGATAAGAAGCATCCTCCTGCAGGATGCAAAGTAACATTAAATCTTCAATCAAAAAAACATTTGTGCCACCGCTAAACCGCCCTCAATTATCCCGCAAGGTTGCCTGCAGGCCTTGCATTTCCCACAACAGCTTTGTTTGGCACGAGACAGGTCTGACAGCGTGATTACAGACCCTGTGGTAGGAAATTACTGCAAAGCTTGAGAGTGGGAGAATTATCCTGCTTATCAGATATTAGGCAACCAGAGAAGAGTGGTATTCACACATGGAATAATAGAGGCGTGATGTAAAACCGAGCAAACGGGATTTCATTTACTATACGTTGAATATAAGGATTATGCTCTGTATTATGCAAGATTTAGAAGACTGTACTTCACTTTTGTTTTAACATTATACATTTGAGTGCTATTGTTTCAATGTGGCCGATGTCTGGAAGTACACATCAAGGCAGCACAGGATACTTTCAGCTAGCTCTACATCTGGAATAGAAACCATGCAATTGTTTTTACTATAAATAACTCTTACAGCTCTTACACAGGTTTTGTTTCCTACAGTACGTCCGCATAAATATCTAAGACTCACATGTTTTTCTGCCCACTAATTTTTCCGTTTCAATACTGCAATTTTCACGAAAAAAGTGCACATAACGATCATGTGCACATGTTTTTGGCTCACTGACAATCTCACGGTGGCTCAAACTGTTTTTGCCAGACGATGGTTGTTGAAATCATTTTTAGGGAAGACAGGAAAATATTGATGTACTTTTCCCATTTGTGTCACATCAATTAATTATTTATTAAAAACATATTGAAAAGACGCTTATGACTGTTAACAGGGTCAACCTCTTATTTTTAAGCCACATTGTGCTCAAAGCTGTGGGTTTTACTAAACCGACTTTGTGCTCTTTCATGAAGTGCCTGCAGGGATCGTAGTTAGAGAAATGGGAGCCAATTTACAGCCCTAGAGAACGTTTGGGGTCTTACTCTGGCCTGATTCTGCCAAGTCCAATGTGTGGAAATACCGATGGAACATATTACAAATGAGTCCAGGAGAATAAATGACAAATCACAGTGAATGTCATCACCGTCACGCCCTGCAGAGAATTGGGAGCAATATCCTGCGTGGTGGGAATACACACACACACACATACGCACATATACATACAAATAGAGACACACAGACATATATGGACACAGCACAGGCTCACAGGGAGTTACAAACATGCACATTAAGTCTCTGGACACCACTTCCTTTCATCTCATTCACCTCCTTTCACATACACATCATGATCTTTTATCGGACGTATCTCTCCAACGTTCAATCCAAGTTCAGGCTGTTTGAAAAACATTATTGCCATTATTTGAAAGTGCCAATTATTACCAAATTGTTCTCAACTTTAAACCCAGAAAAAGTACAGAAAATGTACATGTTGGTTCACCAAAACCACAAGCAACCTCTAGTGTTATCAAGTCATGTATGAGTTGTCCAAGTCATGTGTCTCTAAGATTTCTGCTGCCAACCCAGTACCACAGAGGCAAATACACTTTACGTTCGTCAAAGCACTGAAATAATGTATTGAAAAATGCAAAAAAATATCTCTTAAGTGCCCCAGTTGAGCTGGAAAATATTTTTCTGGCTTCTTTAGCTAAAAAACAGTTTACGGGTGGATTTTTAGATTCATAAGACGGGACGGACTCCTGCAGTGACAGGTGTCAGTCAATAGTGCTGACTTCAGCAGTCATTGAGTCCAGTGAGTCTACCTTTGCACTCCTTTGGCGCCCTATCTCAGCTATCAGCTCACTGCTCCGGCGCCGGCACTGAGGCACAACCATGAGCACACAATCGTTTATCCCCGTAGACATCCGCTGTCAGCATTCCAGCTACTTATATGTCTTATCCATGCGGCTCTCCACATTCCTCTGGGATCCATCCAGCGTTGCTGTGAGGAGAGGGAGTAATGTGAGGGAGCAACGGAGAGGCCAGGCCACTGCCTTGTCATGAGGTCACTCAAGTGAACTTGAAGCTCCAAAGCATTTGTGCGCAAGTGTGGTTAATGTTTTTTTTAAATGCGTTTCCTCTTGCCAGCCGTAAGGAGGCTGATTTACGGCCAAAGTGTCTGCCGCTTGTCATTTTCCCCCTCATTAACCCATCCTTTTCTCAAGGACTGCTCCGGAGAATATACAAGCTCAATTAAGCTGTTCTGACCGGAAATCTCATAAATCATCTCCAAGGGCTACTGATCAGCACTGCTGGAACCACAGCATAAAGCAGCTCACAGCGGTGTGTGCTTCTCAGCGGGGCAGCGCCTATTATAAATCAAAGGAATAGGACGGAGTGTATTGCAACGGATAAAATATTGTACAACATTGTGTCGTAAATCTGTAAGACAATCACTGATAGTCAGTGAACTGCGGCATCAGACAATGAATACAGCGGGACAGGTAAACAGTTATGATGTTATGGGACAATGGACAAGGGCTTACACTCACCTTTTTATGTCGATTAAGGGGCAGACATTATGGGCAAGGGTGTGGGCATGCGTTTGTTACACAGGATATTCCACATTTTCTATTGAGCCAGATTTTGTACAGTCCAAATGTGCTGCGATCAGCTAATGTGTCGGCCTATTGTCTTAATTCCTCCCAACATTTTCCAAGCACTGCACAATTAGAATTTCATGCCCGATACCCGAAACCATTCCTTGCGGTG